AATTTTGAAATTAAAAGGGCTGTGTGTATAGGACATGTTTATATTATATTTCATGAATTTTCTCAAATTCATGAAATATAATGAAAACATGATCGACTCGGTGTGGAAGATTAATTTGTTTGGCATTTTTTAGATTGCAACTGAGTTATGACACGAATGAAGTTGCTTCACGTATTTGAAATTGTTAATGTTCTAGAAATATAAGGAGTTAATATACTTTGGAAACCGTTAATGTAAGAAGTATTGTCAAAATCAATCATATATTTTTTCTTTGGATGAAAATTATGACGATTCTGTAATATTTCATAAGATTATATTTTTGATTTTTTAAATTTAGAACTTTTCAATCCTATAGTTGGTATGCGATATTATATTTCACACATGGTTTACTTTTTTGGTTTCATCTTCTCCAAAGTTTGAAGTTTAAGACTAAGGAGAAAGCTTTCATTCCTTTTTTTATAATCATATTGCACTCTCAGTCTAGAAAGAAGAGGTTAAGTTCATTTTGGTTCTCCTTGACAAAAGATAGGAAGAACGGAAACTTAGAAACCCAGATTTTTTGATAGGTTTTTTCAAGTATTTATAGAAAATTCCCCTCACTCGTGTATGCTTTACAAGTAGAATTTGTTGTGGATTCTTAATCCATGTATGTTTTAATTATATTTGGATTCGAATCCTATATAATTGCGAGTTTTGATGGTTGTGTGGATGAGAGTAATGACTAATACTGGAATATTGGACTTCGACATTGAACCTGATCCGAAATATATTCCGTGACCGCTCTAATAGAAGAAAACGTATTCTACAGGAGTGAGGCAGCGATGGCAACATTTTTCTATAGCCAAAAAAAATTGGAGATATTTTGAGGCAAAACAGTGAGAATTGTGGTACAAAGAGGAAGAAGTGGAGAAAGTGTGATGGTAGATCACCTAAAGCGAATTCTTTGGCTTCTGATCAAAAGACGACGCGAGAGAGATCTCCTTGGGCGAAGACAAAAGGGATCTGCATAATATAAAGCTCAACACGTGTACTCGACACTTCAAAACCTGTGAAAGCAAATCGTCAGTGGGCTCGAGTGCTATTTTCCGATCCGAGTCGATGAGTACGATCGATATATGCAGCAGCATAGTGAATCGCAAGTGTACAATTGTGCTGTCAGATCGCACGAGGAATCACTAGCAAGACACGAGCAAAAGTGTTTGGGATGTGTAGGCTTTTGAAGGCCATGTTCGCTCACTCCCAATTCGGAGCAGGTGATGCGCAAATTGACAAACTCTTCTCCATTACTCTCTGCCATTTGCATCTCACGCATCCACGCGAACAAACAAATCTCCAGATTCTTCAATCCCTCTGCTTTTTGCTCTTGACACCCTTTTAGATGAGGCTGTGGCGTCGAAGAAGCACCAGATGCAGAATCAAAGATGTTATTTGTTCGAGGCCAATGATCATCATCATCCTCATCCTCGGCAGCAGCAGCAGCAAGACACCGATCTTTTGGTTTTAGCTCCTCAGGAGAGTGGGCATGCGGTGAGTGAGTGGCATTATGCAGCATGACCCAAGAGAATATGTGTGGAAAAGACTTTTCCATATTCATTCCTATTCAATCCTGCGCTCGTGCACAAACCTCGTTTCGTCCTCAATGATCAATATAATATTTGAGGCTTGAGAGATCGATGGGCGGATGGAAGGTACGCGGTGTTACTTCCAGTCAACTCTCACGCAGGAGCAATTTAGAGGTCGGTCTTCTCGAGAATCAAAAGTACACTAAAAATAAAAATAAAAATTTTCTGGTCACTTTTTTGGTTCATTCTGGAGGTTGGATGCTTGCCTTTTCGAGTGCAGCATTTTTCGCAAGCTCTCATGTGCTTCAGGCGTATTGTGGCAATAGCATTTGCTCCCATTAATAATTTGTATGGACACCCTTAAATACTAAAGAGAAAGTGATTTGGAACATGCTTTTGACATTATTTGTAAAAGCGCCGAGGAGATTCCGCACACTGTTCATGAGACAAATGTGTTCCCCCAAACCCCATTTCGTGATATTATAATCACAATGTTCCAAAAATCCCCTGACCCGTCGATGCGAGTCACGGTTGCTGCTGCTGCTGCTGCTGCTGTGGTGGCCACTCCATGAGATCTACGTCTCGTCCCCCTGTGCGTAGACATATCTCTGAGCGTCGTTGAGCTCCCTGTCTGACCAGAGATCTGACAAATTCCTCTGCCCTGTTCTCCTTCCGCCAATTCTTCGCGTATTTTGTCTACCCCTAAGACAAAGATATGGAGCACACTCGAGCAACCTTAAAGCTTCATCATTTCCTCCTCATGCAACTCTTAAAGCTTTGTCTTGGGCCAAATGAGGCTCACCTCAAATTTGCCAGCAAATTGCAGAACACCTGCACCTCAGATCTCAAAAGTCCACGGCACCGGAAGTTTGAAAATCCTGGTGACACGAGAAACCAAGAAACAAATTTGGGAAAGACGAGAATGAATGAATGAATGGAACGAGGGGCAGCGCTTCAACGCCGTCACTCGAAGTCTCGAGATCTCATTACTTTTGAAGGTCGTGTGATTGGACATCTATTTTCGTGCCCGTCTTGAAATGCATACAAGTGTACGAGAGAGTCAGTAATTTTGGCAGTATGGGAGGGGGGGCCTTGCCATCATCGACCCGGAAGAGGAAACCGAAATGGACATGCGTTGAATCGAGGAAATCTGTGGGAGCGGCAGCAGTATCGGTAGAATCAGCAGAATCAAAATTTTTTGGTTCATTCTGGAGGTTGGATGCTTGCCTTTTCGAGTGCAGCATTTTTCGCAAGCTCTCATGTGCTTCAGGCGTATTGTGGCAATAGCATTTGCTCCCATTAATAATTTGTATGGACACCCTTAAATACTAAAGAGAAAGTGATTTGGAACATGCTTTTGACATTATTTGTAAAAGCGCCGAGGAGATTCCGCACACTGTTCATGAGACAAATGTGTTCCCCCAAACCCCATTTCGTGATATTATAATCACAATGTTCCAAAAATCCCCTGACCCGTCGATGCGAGTCACGGTTGCTGCTGCTGCTGCTGCTGCTGTGGTGGCCACTCCATGAGATCTACGTCTCGTCCCCCTGTGCGTAGACATATCTCTGAGCGTCGTTGAGCTCCCTGTCTGACCAGAGATCTGACAAATTCCTCTGCCCTGTTCTCCTTCCGCCAATTCTTCGCGTATTTTGTCTACCCCTAAGACAAAGATATGGAGCACACTCGAGCAACCTTAAAGCTTCATCATTTCCTCCTCATGCAACTCTTAAAGCTTTGTCTTGGGCCAAATGAGGCTCACCTCAAATTTGCCAGCAAATTGCAGAACACCTGCACCTCAGATCTCAAAAGTCCACGGCACCGGAAGTTTGAAAATCCTGGTGACACGAGAAACCAAGAAACAAATTTGGGAAAGACGAGAATGAATGAATGAATGGAACGAGGGGCAGCGCTTCAACGCCGTCACTCGAAGTCTCGAGATCTCATTACTTTTGAAGGTCGTGTGATTGGACATCTATTTTCGTGCCCGTCTTGAAATGCATACAAGTGTACGAGAGAGTCAGTAATTTTGGCAGTATGGGAGGGGGGGCCTTGCCATCATCGACCCGGAAGAGGAAACCGAAATGGACATGCGTTGAATCGAGGAAATCTGTGGGAGCGGCAGCAGTATCGGTAGAATCAGCAGAATCAGAAGATCCGAACGAGGAAATGTTTCGCATGCCCGAGTCAAGGCCGAAAAGAGCCAGGAGAGGAGACCGGAGGTGTACGACGTCGGATCGAGAGGGAGAGAGAGAGGGAGAGAGAGAGGGAGAGATGGGGGGGTGGCATAAATTTGTACCGTGGGAGAGCGAGTGTGTGGTGTTAATGCCAGCGGCAAGTACCAAAGTCGTGGAGTGAAGGCGGTAATTAACAAACGTAAGACCTGCAGATTCAGCGCGCTGTGCCTTTATTGACATGCTCGACCGTCCATGATCCGGCCTTAAGTTAAGTCATGTCTAATCGGTGTGTCAGAGGCTCACATCGCTCGATCGCTCACATGTACCTCATGACTGAGACTTTTCTTGTACTGTACTTAGTTTCTCTAATTTCTTCTTTACCCATTCGAGTATGATCAGATTTCCTGGTGCTGATTCGCCTCGTTTCTGTTGACTTGCTGGTGGAGGTCGAGTTTGGTGGGATGTGGAGTTAGTGCAGCTTTTGACATCCACGGCCTGATCTCTGCCTGGAGTCCCATCGGCCCCTCACGGACTGTACTGGGTTATAATAGTGTGCGAAATTATCGTCCTCGTGTGTGTTGTCTAGGTCTGCGAACTCGTGTCGTCTCCGAGTTGCTTTTGCTGCAGATTTGTGCACTTGTGACCAGATCCGGCAGATTAAGCTCCAGCAGCAGCATCCGCTCTCAATCAGTCGATTGCAAGTTTCGTCTCGCTCGCTGAACGCCAATGAGTCTGGAGTAACTTGGACCTCACTGTACTCACGCTCTTCCCGTGAAGCCTAGAGAAACAAAGATACTTTCGCGGAAAAGGTGTGGGTGCTAGCCCAGCCAGCCAAAAGAAAGTAAAGGTGGAGTGACAAACTGTGACGGCCACAGAAAAAGTTAAAAAAAGTTTAGATCTGTAGATCAGGATCCTGTCACAGCCAGCCATGGCGCAAAAGCTAGTCAGAGAGAGAGAGAGAGAGAGAGAGAGTCGAGATAGAGTTAGAGAGAAAGAGATGGAGATTTGGAGAGAGCTTTGGCGTGGGCCACAATTAGCTCAACTATGCCGTGGCCGGTTGTGGACGATGTGGCATAGGCAGTTCAGAATTTAGAGCAACAACTGCTGAATCGATTAATTATCAAGTGCGAGTTCGTGAACGATCAATCATTCACATGGAGAATGCAGCCTCTCGCGGAGCTGCTGGTGGCAGCCCGTGCCACCATGTCGAGTTCAGGTGTTGGGCAGAAACCACTTCTCGGTTCCTACAAATGTGGAGAGAGAGAGAGAGAGAGAGAGAGAGAGTGAGTGGGTCGTGCGTTCGCTTCAAAGCCCAGCGAAATGAACCTCTACAGATATCCAGTATTTCGTCCGCCTTGCAGTTCGTGGCCAGAATTCGCTACCTGTGCCGAGCTGCCATCAATGCGGCCGAGAGGAAAAGTTTAGGTAAAGCTCCAATGACGATGTCAGTCGGTAGCGGCTGATTTCCGTAGTACCGGATCTGAATCATGCCCTAGATCAGGCAGCAGCCCCGTCCCTAGCATAGCTTGACGTTTGCGCATTTGCAGCTGAGCTCAGAATCAAGTCAAGTCGCGGCTCTTGCATCCAGGTTACCGATCATGGAGTAATGTACTGCGATCAGGAGAAGGTAGCCAAAGGCCCCACAATCGAAGTCAAGCCATAGTAGAGCAGAGATCGTAGTACAGTAGTAGAAGTAGAAGAGCAGTATTTGCGGAACTCTGGCAGTGGCAGCGCTCATCGGCCTCATCTCCTCACATCAGCCTCTCGCCATTTATGAAATTCAAAGCCCGACAAATCGATACAATCCACACCGCTTTCGAACAGTAGTCAATGTGACTCTGGAGCTTCTCTTAGCCTTTAACACCACCTGTTGCAGCAGCAGCAGCTGTGCCCTTGTCTGCCCTGCCCACCCCGTAGGCCCTATCGGCCCTATCGGCCCCATCAGCCCCATCCTCTGCTGCACCCCCAAGGTGGCCGAGGCGACGCCAATCTGAGACTGGAGGTAACGGTACATGAACCCGAGCTTGGGTGATGGCGCTGCCACCACAGCCCACCATCACATCCCCCCTCCCCCCATATCCATGATCCAGCCACCTCCAAAACTGGTGGTTGGATCGATGATGGCTGTACCTACACTCACCCCCAGTTGATATTATGGCTGCTCATGCTCCGTGGGCGTGACCTCTACCTGGTTGACTAACGCTGTTCTCATCTGTTCTCAGACGACTGCACTGCACTGCTCAATCTGCCATGGCCTGATCTGCTCTGGGCACTGGACTGGCCTCCTGCTGAGCCGGTCCGCGTCGCGGCCCTGGCATGAGACACAATGATGTTGCCATCTGACGGGCACAGCATCCGTTCGGCTTTGTGGTGAGGTAGGGACGACGAGCAGCAGCCGGGGCGGAGTGGTGGCGAGCGCCAATGTCTGGATTGCTGTGTAAGCAAACAACATTGACAGTATCTGCTCAGTGCGTGCGCTTTTGGAGTGCTGCTTGCTTGCTTGCTTGCCATAGAGGCCCGAGGGCCGGGGGAGGGGGGCCGAGTGTGTTGAGGGGGAGGTCATTCATTCATTACTCGGTTGCTATTCAGCACGATGAGTCGCGGTTATCGGACTGCCGTGACGAGGGGAATTTACTTCTCTTCGTTTTACTTGCTCGTTTGCTCCAGTCGTACCCAGCTGGTGTTGTCAGTGAGGGAGAGAGTCGAGAAATATCCCAGTCCAATCGAGACCTCGGTGAATTTCAGTCAAAGTGAGTGAGAGAAAGCAAATCAACTGCAGCAGCAGCAATTGCAGGAGTAGTGTGAAATGAACATGAAGAGAAAATTGAGACGGAGAGAGTAATTCACGTAGACTGCCGACACATCGGCAGCAGCCATGGCGTGCTCTAGTTAGAGACTATGAAATCCACGCAATGAGCTCGCCAGTTCGTTGCTGGCGAGCCGAGCTGCTGCAGGTGAGCTCTGGCAAAGACCGTTAATTCCCCGGGCTGCCGTCATGATCAGGCCTCGGCTCGAAACAGAGCAGTGAATGAATGTAAAGCGAGTCGTCAAAGGAACTGTCTGTCTTTCCATGGCATGCGTCGCAGTCCTGTCCCATCCTATCCCATCCCATCGCGTGCGATCCAATCGCCCCGTCCAAGTCCACGCCCGAGCCCACACCCGCAGGGCCGGAGTGGGGTTGGGTGATGGAGTCGAGCGCTTCCGATTGATTGATTTCGGGATAACAGACGATGGCAAAAGGCGAGCAAGAATGCTCTGGGCTGCTGTCCTTTTGGACAGTCAAGCGGTTTGCGCTTTCAGCAGACAGCTCACTCTTCTTTAGACCGAGTTCATCATACGATCCTGCGATCAATCACAGAACTGTCAACTCCAAAGTTAATGAGACGCGGTTGGAGCCAAGAGGTAATCATGGTCTCATGTGGGACTAGGAGAAAGAATTGGATGGGGAGGGGGCCCGGGGGGGTTGCGGGTTGAGTGGGCATCGCTTTTGGGAAACAGCAGAAATGCAAAGCTCGAGCTGGACGCTGTCGGACTATCTTCGAGGCGCATACGCAATCCGAAGGCGAGCGAGCGATTGACCGGGGCAGGAGCAGAGAAGGTGGCAGACACAAAGGCGCGATCGACCAACATCTTTTGGGAGACCAAGTAGTACCGGGGTTACGCTCATGTGACGAGGATCTCAGAGGCCCGCTCCTGTCACACATGACGCGAAGGCCGCGAATGATTTCGGATCGCAGCGAGCGCCCGAGTGTCAGACAGCAAGCAGAGAGCCTAATTTGCCTGCCTGCCTGCCCGGTTTCGAAGATTCGAGGCAATTCGAGACAGAATCTCACGTCTGCACGGCGTCAGTGTTGGCACCACTGTTTCGCCTGCATCGCCTCGCGAGAGGATTACTCCTCGAGCAAAAAGCTGGATCACTGTTTCCCTTCCCATCTGGCTTGCCGTGGAAAAGTCACCCCTTGCGTCAGGGTGATGGCAAGCCCAGGCATCACTCGCTGCTCCCGGCCGTGGGAGAATTACCGCCGAGTCGAGTCGCATGTCGCTTGCATCCAGTTGCACTGCGGGTCGATCAACTCCGAAACCTACAGTGATCGCAAAGGACAAGGGGCTCATCCACAAGCTGATCCGCATCGCTCGCAGTTGCCGAAATGCAGATGAACGCATCGGTGCATTTGGCATTTGGCATTTGGCGCAGCACGCCAAATTGAGCACACTGTTGGGCAAGGCAAACAAATGACAGCGCGAGTTCCACCCGCTGAATGTCGGAGCCATGAGCCATGTTACCGAAATGATTCTCGATCATGGCGTGCCGCGGGGCGACGGACATGTTTGGACACGGCCGAGGAATTTCGGAGAGGTCTCGGGCGGACGAGGAGGAGGACTCAATCCGTCCGGGGCCCCCCATCCCCTCCCTCCCCCGTGGGAAGACTGAGCTGAGCTGAGCTGAGCTGAGCGGCGACAAACAAATCCACAGCTGGGGCTGGGCCCGGGCACTGTGGCGCACCACTGGAGGCACAGGCAGCTGAATTAATTTGTTCTTTGTCGCGGCCGATGTGGCTAAAGGCGCTCTAGAGTGTGCGACTTTCGAGCTGATTGTGTGTATCCTTCCTTCCCTACATTAATTCCCGAGCTGCTCGCCCCGCCCGCCCGCTCGCTGCTGCAACAGTGGGACTCTGTTGCTGCTGCTGCTGCGGGGGAGGGCGAGGGCTGCACGAGTCTTCGCAGCCTGCTGCTCACGAACAGGAACCAAACCAAGCCTCGCGAGAGACCCACGTCGGGAAGCAAGCAAAAGAAGCAAGCGCAAGTAAAAGGGTGGATCGATCCACGTGCATGCGCGATAATAGTGCATCGACTCGACGGGACTCGAGTGCCTGTGGGTCCGCCCTCGGCCGATTGGGAAAAAATCCTCTGCGCTTTTCACAATCGAGAAACCACAGCTTCACATTTTGCCCCCAGAGTCGAGTCGAGTCGAGGCGAGGTGAGTCCAGTGGGCTCTCTCTCTCTCTCTCTCTCTCTCTCTCTCAAGCTCAAGCTCAAGCTCAAGCATACACTCGCGCTAGCGCCCGGGCTGGTGATGGCAGTGGGTGGCATGCCGACCTGCAGCATTGACGACCGGATGCAGGTGATTCGGAGAAGCTTCCGGCTTAGTCTAATCCTCCTGCACTGAGCACTTTTGCTCGCTGCTGATTCTCGACTCTTGTCCGCCCCGTCCCTCGAGTCGGGTCGAGGGGAGGAGACTCTCCTCTCTGTCAGGCACTACTGGCAAGGGCAGACAGAGGTGCCAGTCTGCAACCAACACATGGAGAGGTGTAGGCCGGGGCGGACCACCGCACTCGACGACAGATGGAGCAATCTCGCTTGGTGACTCCTCGAACTCCTGTCAGAGCGAGGGCAGCCAGGTCCACCAGCCCCACCCCGAAATCTGGGCATAAAATATTATATTCTCGCTCTGCTGCTGTCGCGACCCTTTTGAACCTTCACCTTCTTTTGATTCCTCTCCAAGTTTCACCGCCTCGTCTCGCCTCGCCTCACGATCGGCCAGCGCCACTTTCTCTGGATTCCGTCTCGCAGTTTCGCCCATGGGCCGCTCGCTCTTCCAACCATGATCCGTCCTCCGCCGAGTCCGGGGCCTCGCCCCGACTAGGCCCCGATCATAACTAGCCTTGTCGGCGAGTTTCCGGCAGCGCTCGGTGCACTAGAGTGCTCTAGACTCCTCCACCACCAAATGCATGCAGCCCTAGCATCGAGCGAGCGAGTGGTAGCAGGCCCGGCCTCCTCCTCCTCCTCCTCCTCCTCCTTCAGTCCAATCGAGCCCAGTCCACTCACGAGAGTGGAAAGCGTTCGGTTTCTTGCCGACGTCAACCAACTGCCTGCCTGCCCGCCCCCATCCAGGCCACGAACCGGAATTCAACTGCACAGCACAGGCTGCTGCTGCGGCTCTGCGCTATCTATCTATCGAAACTCTATCTAAACTCATATCTAGCCATCGCATAAAGACGGGGTCGCTTATCTCCGAGTGGATTGTGGCGAGGGGGATGGGATTCGAGCCCAGGCCCAGGTCCAGGTCCAGGCCTTCCGAGACAGGAGGACGAGGCGGGACTTGCTCTTGCTGCCTGCGGGCATGAGATTTTTTTCGCCTGGCTCGCGAGCGAGCGAGCGAGCGAGCTAGGGCCCAGGCTGGACAGAAATTTGCCATTAGTGGTGGCTGGGAAAAGGTGCGCGGATGAGATAGGATGCAGTGGACTCATTGCAGATCAGGATGTGCGCTTTCCCTTGTTTCGTGCCCTTCTCACATGCGCCCTTCAAGAGCTACGAGCCGGACGCTGCAAAAGGATGCCGAAATCATGTTATGTCGCCGCATGTAATAAAAAATCATCACCTCGCCTCCGCCATCTCGCCTCGCCATGTGAATGCATCTTTATTGCTCAACTTCCACTCCCTCGACAATCAACTTCCTCCCCTCCCCTCCCCTCCCCTCCCACTCGACCTTAGCAGTTAGCGGCCGGGAAGGGGTGTTACAAACTAACCCCCCCTCGTCTTCTTACTAAATGCGGAAGGGCGGAAATAGTTGGAGGGGGCTCGCCCAGGACCGCTCCGTGGCTGCGGCTGCGGCCGCGGGGGGTGTTACAAGCCCCTCCTCTTCCCTTCCCCCCGCCCGTCGTCTTACTAAATATGGGGGTTGGGGCAGAGATAGCCGGAGGGAAGGGGCTGGGCTGGGGCTGTGGCTGCGGCGAGTCAAGGCCGGTACGGGACGGGGCAGGAGCGGGAGCGGGAGCGGGGGCCGTGCGGATATGCAAGAAAGAACAACATCAAACGGGAAATGCAGCGAGATGGAGATGAAACGTACGCTCAAGTACAACGGCCGAGGCGCAGCCCCCAAGCGCTTCGCGGGCGCGGGCGCGGGTGGCTGTCCCGGTCCACCGGCGCGCCCAATTCCCCAAGGTACCTGAACCCTCTGCTGCCTGCCTGCCTGCCTGCTGCCCCCCCATGACGTTTCATACCCGGCGTCTTTGTCCGACAGACACAAGCCCCGCATCGTCGGCGCCGTCGTTATTGGACGGGAAGGGGAAGGGAAGGGCAAAGGAAGGGCTCGCGATGGACGCCAAGTCATGGGGGGCACTGAATTGGAGGACCAGATCCAAGCTCCATTTTACTCGTGGACATTTACTGCGGGGAGAAGGGGGAGAAGGGGGAGAAGCGCAAGGGGGGGAGAAGGGCAAGGGGGGAGACTTATTGAAAAAGGGGCTTCTTCTAATATTTCGGGGCGCTTTGCTCTTTTTTCCCTATGCAAACTTGTCTTGGCCTTAATTTCATCCGGGTCGGGGTCTGCCCCGGTCTAGATCTGCTGCTACGGTTACCCCAAATTGCCTAAGTCCGAGGGCGAGGGCCCAGTAGTTACATGTACGCGACTTTACCTTTGGGCCCATACCAATCGATTACGGTAATTATTTCTATATCGGTGGCTAGTAGGTCTCACCGCCGTTCAAGTCCTGGACCCTGCCTCTACTCCTATCCCCTCCACTCCATCGATATCCGCACACTCTTATAAATTGTCCCTGCACTGCCCATTCAATTCAGCACGCAGTCGGTCTGTCTGTCAATCCGTGAGTGAGCAGATCGTCGCCCACTGTCCAGCCCCCTTCACGTCTCTAGATCTCTCTCTGTGCCTTCTCTCCGGAGTCGGTTGCCCCCCCTCGCCCCTCCAAGGTATACTTCTAGCCGTCTTTCCCTCTTCTCTGCTCTTCTTTCCACTCCTGCCTCCACTCGCACTCCAGCTTCTGCACAGCTCTCTCTTTCTCGAGCTGCTGGGGCTTGCCTCCTCTGTCTCTCTCTGTCGCTCTCAAGGTTGTTACACCTCGCATGCTAGAGATCTAGCGATGGCGGCTCCATTTTCTCGCAAGTCTTTTTGTGTAGTCGATGTCTGAGGCAGGTGTGGTGTGGTGTGGTGTGATACGTCAGTGGTCGGGTCCAGTGGATTTGACGCGTCCTTTTTACGTTTTGCAGAGAAGAGATGGCTGCGTCGATGCATGCGGGTCGGTCTGTGCAGCTCCTCGTGGGGAGCGTGCTGCTTCTCTGCCTCAAAGTGGCAACGGTGAATGCCGCCCAAGCTTGGGCAGTAACAGACTGGGCGGATGCCCACGCGACGTTTTATGGAGGATCAGACGCGTCTGGAACGATGGGTAAAGAACTGAAATCTGTGGACACTTTCATTCTGATTTCTCAAGGGGCATATAGATGGGACGATGAGGCGGCAAGGGCATTGCCCTGAAGCAGGGCGGACGTGCAATGTGGAGAGCGGTCAGAGCGTCTTGGTATCTTTGCAGTAGTCAACCTCTGGTGTTGATCCGATAGGACTCTTGCTCTCCCTCTCAGATCTTTATCGCTGAGACTGTCTCCTCAACATTTGTGCAGGTGGCGCTTGTGGATATGGAAACCTGTACTCGCTCGGGTACGGGACTTCATCGACCGCCCTGAGCAACGCGCTCTTCAACAACGGGCTCAGCTGCGGAGCTTGCTTCTTGATCCAGTGCAAGTTGGAGGGCAGCAAATACTGCTACCCCGGCCAGAGCATCACTGTCACCGCCACCAACGCCTGCCCCCCAGGCTCTGAGGGAGGCTGGTGCGACCCTCCAAGGTCCCACTTCGACCTGTCCTTCCCCATGTTCCAGAAGCTCGCCCAGCCCGTCGGCGGTGTCATCCCCGTCAGATACAAGAGGTACATTTCTACCTCCCTGCCCCCGCAAGTCCGTCTGTTTCCTCAAGCTTCCATTGCCCCCTTGGCTTTTTAAGAGGAAATCACTCCGAGCTGTGAGTTGACATCTTGTCGGTGCTTTCCTCCGCAGAGTGTCCTGCACCAAGCAAGGAGGTGTGCGCTTCACCCTCCACGGCAACCCCTACTTCAACTACGTCTTGGTCCACAATGTTGCCGGCTGGGGAGATGTTTCGTCTTTGGCGATCAAGGGAGACCAGACTGGATGGTACTACATGAGCCAGAACTGGGGCCAGTACTGGTCTGCGAGCGCCAAGCTAACGGGACAGGCACTCTCCTTCAAAGTCACTCTGGGAAATGGCAAGAGTCTGGAATTTTACAATGTCGCAGACAAGAACTGGGGATTTGGCCAGACCTACGAGTCCGACTACAACTTCTAGTATTAAAGTGAGGAAGTTTGCATTTCCTCATCATCATGCGTGGGATTAGTATATGCCGACTTCATGTAGTATAATTGGACGATATGATGCCGAGCCGACCTATCGATCTTGAGAAAGCAAGTGTACAAAAAGATCGACGCGAGTACCGGCTGCACGGTAATCGACCGGAGTGCGTAAGGATTGGATAATTTGATTCTATGAGAACTAGGAGCCGAGGTGCCGCTTACAACAGAAAGAGCCACCCGCCCCGTCTGCTTCTTTGCGGAAGAGGTGAATATTTGGGCAACACTGCCACCCGCTGCACAGTCGCAGATAGAAGAGATACCTGGGGCTATCCTGACTTAGCAACTTCCGAATGGAAGATTGTTGGGATGTGCATATATAAACATGCCCCACCAACGTCACCAAATTGGTTCGAGACCTCACATGGATTCTATTCATGTATTTTCTACGATGGAACAATCGATGGTATTAGTAATAAAAAGTTTTTTTGGTGTACATCAGACATCACGTGCTTCTCTAACTGTAAAGTTTTGTGTTCGGGGAGTGGTCATTCCTCACATCATTGGCATGTTCTCTTGCATGAAGGTCATCGGACTCTATTACGTATAACTGCTTGTTTGTTTCTGAAAGTGTTTGATTATCCTCGCACTGCATTCGCCTGAAAACTAGGCATGGGGTCGCCCTGATTGCGGCGATTGGCCTCAAGCAGCACGTCCGCCTTACCCTCCTAGTGCCGCGTATAGATTGTGGGAATTAATGTTGGAATTGTTGACCTTTGCCGTCCAGTGAGGTCTCTGGTCGTGATGACCGTTGCCTTGCAATGGATGTCATTGTAGGCCCTACATGTCTCGTCTTATTTTCGGCGTGTAGACAAATTTGCAATCGCAGATAATACAAGGAAAGATGTTTTGTTTCAAACTCTGCTCCAAGTTTGTGGCCATGTCCTGGGATTGTGCATGATCCGATGCTGGGAGCAAGACCCAAACAGATTCCAGACCTATGAATTCTTCTTCCCTCGGTGGCGTTGTAGGTTCACTGGAATTCTTGGGAAAATATTCGACGACATGTCTTTCTTTGTCACATCTGCGTCGCTTCGATTTCGTCGTTAGAGAACTATGTAAAGTGTGTGCAAATGTGTTTGTCCAGTTTCTTAGGAGTGAGAGATGGAGATAGTCTAGTGTATGCAGAGATCATTGCGTTGGCCATGAAGGAAACCCTTCTGGAGCGAATCGACTCACAGGAACGCCGAGATGGTGTAAGGTTGTAAAGCATTGGGGTGACAGCTTTTGTGTGTATGATGTTTCAAGGACACTGTGTCTCGAGGAACGCGTGCCAATCTTCTGGCATCTTGCCTCCGATCTTACCTCATGCACGACGACAAAGAGTCTCCTAGCCCCACACTCCCCCGTCCACACTGTATCTCAAGTTCTTTGCTTCAGTTCTTGACAAGATTCTGCATGCCCCCAAAGAACGCTATGATTGGCCACCTTGGAGTTGCTTTTTCCCGCGGATTCCGACGACCAATACGAACCTTCTATCCAGGTGGGCCTCGAGAAGATTGCATCTCCAACAGCTTACCATAGCAAAGGGCGAGGATTTCAGACCAGCAGTTACCCCATCAACGTGTTGGATCAAACCATACCTCCATTCATGTCGCCATAGCGAACTTTTCCAGCAGACTCCGTCCATCAAATCTTTCTTTTCTGCATGGCCAAGCCGTTGAGACCATTTCCAGTCTTTTGTCCTCGATGCACACAAATGTTTGAGCATGTTTTGTTACAATTCATGTGGACCGCCATGTCTAGGGTGTGAAACTGTCGTGCAGTAGCAACTGTAGGGCGAGGACAGCTCGCATGGCAAAATCGCATCACATCATGCACCTCGAACACTATCGTCGAGATCAAGTTCTTGTTCAGAAACAAACATAAGATCTGACTGATTACAGTGAAGCAATTGAATGTAGAAGATTTCAGGCGAGGCGATGGCTTCCTGCTCCTTAACTGCGTTTCCATCATGGAAATCATTTGATTTCATGTTATACTCAATCGTGGAGCATTAAACCGACATAAATATACATATGTTGTGCTCTGTAGCGTTATAATTAGCTCCCCACATGAATTCCCTACAGGATGCAGTTTGAGCATAAGGCGAGAAGTTAGTAATGCGTGATGATTCCGTCGAGTAAACAAGCAGCAATAATACCAGCGCCAATTATTGAAGATCTTATTCGGAATGATTTTAGAAGAAGAGGGACCTAGCGACTCCGCGATCATTTTGTGAGATACCGAGTGAGTCATTAAGGTTGAGAAGTTTACAGAATGTCCATCCGCTGCAGGCAGACCTCCCAAATGGTGGTGCAGACCAGACAGGACTTCGAGTGAAACCTTTGTGTTGCATAATCTGGTAAAAGTCAGAACTGGGTGCATACAATTTTCTCTTTACCAGTATGACTATAAAATCCTCGATTCAACTCCCTGGCTCCAGACAACCCTGAAGGTGAATTAACATCTAGGTTTAAGCCACAAGCTATTGGCTTCCTTCCTGCCCCAAACACCGTCTGAATCTGTTAGGAATGCTTCAAAAGGCGAACTTGAAAGCTCGTGAATGAAGTTGAAGATGAAGCTGAAGATGACGACTTGTGAGGTCCTGTTGTTGTTGATGACGACGGTTAAAAAGGAGGGACCCGTTACTTTGACAACGTGGTGACATGCTCTTCAAACTCACCACTCTTTGCAATCCATTCCTGAAATGTCCTCGAATGATCTGCTCTGCGATAATTTTCCAAGGGTCCCTATGAACTTTTTACTAAGGGGAACTACGTTGGGGCACAAAACACTACGCTTGAAGATGCGAACAGATTATGCACCAAGTTCAAGCACGCTGGGCACCATGTGATTGGACGATGGAGGACCATTTGTGGTCTTTGTCGCCCATGTGACCCCCCTGCTTGTGGAGTTTTCATTTGCCAGCATTATTGTTTCTCAAAGCTAGAAAGAATTTGTGTCCAAAAACGACATTTCCATCTCGGTGTCTTGGATTGTCGACGACCGGGACATATGGGCTTTGGACAAAAGCCTTCTAGTCATCATTAGACATCAAGTATTTTTTATTGGACTGTTGTGCCTCCCTCCCTGAGTGCGACATGAACCCTTCTTCCACACGCATTCCATCGACCTCGTAAGAGCGTCAGGGTCTTGTATTCGATCCGCTGGTGATGACTGCAGATTTATCCCATTCTGTCCGCATCACAAACTTCTCATGTTTGCAGAACTTGTTCTTTTCCGCCACCGTCCAGCAAGTGTTGAATGAGTCGCACATTCCTTTCGTGTAGAATTTCCATCTTTGCCACAACTTTTCACTTCAGTAATGGCCACCTGCGGCAAGAAGATTATTTTTTATGGAAGAGTACGAAAGTGAGTTTCCAAAGGCAATAGTCCACGAGATTATGCTCTCGATCGTACGCGATAGGGAATTCGGATTTAGGACATGCATTCCTGAGATAATTGTTTTCGGCCGGTAACATCCTCCTGTTGACACATATCATCTTTCTAACCATACTTCTTTCGGATTCTTTATCGAATTGAATGTTGATCATGTGAGAATCAAACTGCTCTAAAGTGGGTAAAGCCTTAGGAGTCCGTCCCGACTAAGCACTATGTCACAGCAGAATGAATGTTCTGAGTCTTGTCGCGAATGCTTTGAGCAAGGATGACGAAATCACGTCGAGCAAGCGATTGGTGAATACCAATCGAGGCACAAAGGGCTCGAACGTCCTGTGAAATGTCCGAATGAGACCAACTCGGAGTCCGTTAATCTGTTGGGATTACACTTCAAGCAGAATCTCTCAGGGTTCAAGAGTTGCCGAACCATTCGACCTCCACATGTGCAACTCGAGTCGTACACAAAGCTACGAGATGCTTATAATGAGCCGAAAGTTGAAATCCATGGGTGGAGTACAAACCTCTCTCTCTCTCTCTCTCCCTCTCCCTCTCCCTCTCGATGCATGTTGACTGCAAAAACAAGCCACAAAAGAAAGAAGTGTGGAAAAAGTGGTGCCACGGTGGGAAGCGAGCGGGCTTCGTAGTCCGTCCGTCTGCCCCGTCCGTGCCATTCTTTCTTCTTTCTTTCTTTCTTTCGCCAAAGCGCGGGGCCACCACCGGCACCACCACCACTAGCCATGAAATCCCATCCCCTGATTCCTGCCCTCTTCGCCCACTCCGTCCGTCCGTCCGTCCCTGGGCCTGGGCCTCTCATCATCTCACATCACATCACATCACTACGACTCTTTTCTTGTGATCGCCCACATTCGAGCCCCAGTCGTAACGTGGGTGGCGTTCGCAATTAAGAGAAGAGGTGGCCATATGGTGTCGGTCGTTTCCTCCCTTTATCCCCACCAACCTTACAAATTTGCACATTGTACATCTACCCTCTTCCACTTTCATTCAATTCCACCCTCCCTCCACTGCACACACCCCTCCCTCGCTCCCACTCCTCCTCCTCCTCCTCCTGCAGCTGCAGCAGCAGCACTGCTCTGCATCACATTGCTCGCCATCTCTCTCTCTCTCTCTCTTTGCTGCTGGCTACTGCTGCCGCCGCTAACGCGGGTAAGGATCGGACGTCGAGTTTGAACCCCCTCCTCCTTTCACCTGAGGACATCTCCACCACCGGCTTAACCCAACCTGACATCCAGTACCCTAACCTAACCTAATCTAATCTACCGCCGTGTAACCCGAGTTCTCTAACCCGCTTAGCTTGACCCGAGCTTTATCTGACAAGACCTGGCACGGACTAACCTAGCTCAAGGCGATGATAGCCGAGCGAGCGACGACGGACCCACAGACACAGACAGACAGAGAGACAGATGACGGACAGACGGGCGGGCAGACGGGCAGACAGAGGTTAGCGTTTAGTTGACGGAGCTTTAAACTAGACCCGGCCCCCGGCCCCACAGAGGCCATCTAGCTTTAAGTGGAGCTTGGCTTTACTTTTTCGCTTCTTTTATTTTCGTTTGCCCCTAGTCTGATTTTGGCAACGGGAAGGAAAACATGGTGCAGCTAACGTGTGGGCGCAGTCGTCGATACTATATTCTCCTCTTGTTTTGGTGGGAATAGTGCTCTGTGGTGGGCATTCACTGGCCACAGTGCCCGCAGGACCCCACAAGACAAGGCTCTCGAGATTTCACTTGCTTAAATTGTAGGCCCTTTACTTTGGCTCTACGAGTTTGAATCGCTGCAGAGATACACATGGTCGATAGAGTTGGATGGAGAAGGGCTATTTCCATCCCGGGTGTAGATCGAGCCGTAGGTATTTGTAGGATGTTTCAGGAGAAAAAGTCCGTTTGAATGTATAATATGTTGGCAGACACTAGAAAATAGGAGTATGCCGATATAAATATCAAATAGACAAGAGGTATAATGTGTATAATATTCAACAACCCGGAGAAGGACAAAGTGCCCGGCCAGCATGCTAGCTAGCTCCGTTATATGGTTGTTCTCGGTCTCTTTAATGTCCTTGACGAAAGTACATCATTTATCTTTTTAACATTTTTCTATTCTCGGTGACTTTCATCTTCGGTGGTGGAAAACCTTGGACATTTGCTTTTTAGGTGGATTTCATTTGGCCCTGGCCTTGCTCTCATAGGCTCTTTGGAGTGCAGCGGGATCCCGCTTTTGAATTTGCAGATGAGCACCGGGTTTGCCCAACGGGATGGATGGATGGCCATCGTTGCGATGGCATGCAACTGAATTCCTTGTGAGAAGATTTGGCACTTTTGGCCCAAAGCTTACAAATGTTGCATGCTCCCTTGCCGTACGTACGCGTAACCAGCTGACGCTTGGCTGGACGTACGGAGCCAGGCAGTAGAGTAGTAAGTACGGAATAGGTTTAGTTTTTCCACCTTTAGCAGGTTATACGGTGTAGGGAGTACAAAAAAATAAGCTCGATTTTTATATATAGAATTTACTATAACATATATATTTAAAGGAAAATTGTATGCAATTTTTTTAAAAAAAAGAAGCTTCTTTCAAGGGTTTTGATTGATTTTTCTCGAATATATTTATGGATTAGATTTTGTATCTTTTGAATCCATCTCTATTCATGAATTTATTTTATCGAGATATAGTTGGAAAAATATACAATAAAATTCCTACTTTAGTGTTTTGATGCTTAGCATATTTAAGTTCATGTGGAGTGTCACAAGGTTGTGGATTTGAAGTTAGTAGTAGATACACGATGAAGTGACTAAGTTATTTTTGGCTCTTTTTATGTTAGCTCACCTTCACTTCCTCACATGCTTTGGTAGATATACATGTAAAAATTACATAGAAAGACAATAATTAGAGCATTTAGGATTTGCATGTGAGAAGGTGCATACTATCTAGAGTTGTCATGTACCATGCCATGGACATTGTTTCATTTTAATAACACACTGGCATTTCACTATACAAGAAAATTTTTTGATTTTTAGAAATGCCTCACCATTCATATAGATTTGAGAGCATTGCAACCGTCATGATTCAAACATAAAACCTCCTTGTTTCAGAATTGAATTGGTAAATTTTCTTCAAAATTTATGATTTATTGCTCCAAACTGTCTTACAATCTTAAAAAAATAAAAGTGTATATAAAATCTACAGTAGTTAGAAGAATTGTATTTTCTCTAATAATACATTATATCAAAATGAATCTGTTAAATTTTTTTATATATTATATTTTTTTTACATGTTTTTATGTGTTTCATCTTGTTTTTTGAAACAGATAATGGTAAATATTTTATTTTATTGCATCGTTTTTTCTCCCACTGTATTTTTGCACACTTCAATGTACTTGATTAAAAGGCGTGAAGGTACTCTAGCATGTTAAAGTAAATGTAACATTGAGATAAAACTGTATATCACTTTTGTCTGAAGAGATATGATATGAAAAAGGATGATCACTCATCTTTTTTATTGTTAATTGTGAAGATGAATTCATAGAGCTCTTCAATTAGTTTTATGCACAAAGGTCACATCTTTGTTACTCTAGGCACAGAAGATTTAAAGCAAAAACATGAGGTTTGTGTTGGACTTGACACGAGAGTGTATAAGATAACCAAAAATATATGAGGCATAAGATACCACTCTCTTTATATTATTCTGTACACTACTTTAAATACCATACTACACCTTAATATACTGTATAGAAGAATTTAGATAACATGTTTCCATTATTATATGAAGATCACGATATGATGTTATCCATGAGATAGGAATCACAATATAATAATGTCTTGAGATGTTCATATATGATGTGATGGCTTTTCTTGAAGCTCTCATGTCATTTGGAAATATTGAGACCTATCTAGTAACTGTATATGGGGTGCAATAGGACATAATTCGCGTTCAGATGGATGATTTGGTGACGTAGCCCCATGTTAACCATTTGGTTCGATCCTCGTAGAGCTATATGGGCTCGTCCGAGGCTTGTTGATATGTCCCTCGGTGCTATAGAAAGGGATAGGTTTTAGTTCTCCCACCATGTGTTCGGGGCCAGTCGTAGTCAAGCGTAGCCCAGGTGATGACCGTGATGATGGCGCAGGACCCACAAAATTTATCCTCCCAGCTTGTGCTTGCCTCACTTCAGGTACCACCTTCTTGCTCGCGGCGAGACAAGGAAAGTCTTTGTCGAGAAATTGCACGTAGCAGCAGCGAGAATCATTCGGTCTCGCTCGAGGGCCGCAGTGCGAGGGAAAATGAGCACTTCGAAGACGACGACGACGACTACGACGACGCTCGTAAAGCGGTCCGCAAAGCAAAGCGTAGCATAGGATCTCATCTCATCTCATCTCACCTCATCCACTTCCACTCTCCTGCAAGTGTTCGAACTGGACCAAAGCCCCTCGCCGCCAGCGTGCATTCCGACGCAGTGTTGTTTGTGAGCCCCAGCATGTTCACTCACGCAGGACCTCGCATGTCGATCTGCAGCCTGTGGGTCTACGAGGACAGATCCCGAATGTGCGCCATCTCTGCCTCTTTCGACGCGGAGGCGAATTATTTGCACCGTTTCGAATTCTTTTTCCCTCCCCGTCTCTCACGTTCGAGCCCTGTGCACGCCCAGGCCATTCATTCATTCATTCATTAGTGCCGGCCTCGAGTCGCTCGATTAGGGTTTGTTTGTTTGCGGGTCAGGGTCAAAGATTCGCGACTAAGCATGATTTCTGTAACCGTATTACGGCTCTCTGTGGAGCCGAGGTCACGGAAGTGTCACGGAAGCGCCCTCAGCTGGACGGCGCTCGGCGCTCTCACCGGAGACGAGAACCTGGTGATTATTCCGAGTAAATAATCAGGACTGTAACTGACTGCGCGCGGGCGGGCCGCCTGACTGACTGAGCTCCATTATAGCGACGACTCCATTTGGCCATTCGCGAGGTCCAAGGAGCGAGACCTGGTAGAGACAGTGCACGGAGAGGTCAGTCCACATACGGCGTACAGGAGCGTGACGTTGTAGACGGCCTCGGCCACCAAGTCGGGAGTCGTCTCTATATTAGGCGGGGGATATTTCGAATCCGAGCCGATTTAGGCGACAGGTTACTTTGGCGGAGACGCTAAGTGCCCGTGGCGCGCCATTTGTGGTGCGCAGTGCGTTCCGCTCTCCAACCACGCGAGCCATCGACGGGGGGATGCATTTACTAGGGAATCGTGAGATGTGCGCCGTAGATTCCCCAGAGTACAGTGTACTAGGGAGGGTAGTTCATGCGCCGGGAGCAAACCCAGTAAGGAGATGAACTGCACGCGACTGCGCGATTTCCGTGGGAGGAGAAGCGACGGTCAGGATGGTCGCCTGGGGATTCATGATAAGCCCGATGGGGAGATCGTGAATGATCGTCGATCGATCGCATCGCATCGCATGATCGATCGATCGATAGATAGATAGATAGATCGATCTAGTTGCAGTGCAACTGGGTAGGTGGTGCGGAGGTGCCGTGTACCGTCGACACCAACTGCGTAATTACAGTGCTCGCCTCATTCATGCAGGCGTGGATGTGCGAGTCGCGTGATTACCGGCGCGTGGTCCGCTGATTGCGCAGCATGATGATCGGAGCGGTCCACCCACGAAAGCCCACTGACTGGCGGTCATTGCCGGTCGGTCCTTGCCCGGCCAAGCGGCGCGGTGGTGGCTATCTATCTTGACAGTGGCGCCCCCTGACGTCGAGCATGTGCGCCCGCCTCCTTCGCCCTTGCGAAAGTTAGCGACCCTCAAAGTCCCGCCCCGGCCTGCCCGCCTCGCCCTCTCCCCCTCTCACGGGCACCATTTCAGCTCACTCTCGAGCGAGCGAGTGAGCGAGAAGTGAAGTGGCTCATGTGCACGGGATGCGCCTGAGGCCTCTGAGTTTCTGACGAGCCTGCTCTTGCTCCTGCTCCTGCTCCTGCTCGCAGCAGTTTACAGCTCACGCGTTGCTCCTCTCCCTCCGCAGTCTTCTATCGTCCACTCAAGCTCTCGCCTCTCAAAAGCGAGCGTGTGTGCGTCGTGAAGCCTCTCGCCCCCAGCTCGAGCTCTCAGTGTGTGCTTGGCAGCTCTCAGTCCTCGTCGTCGCTGGGATCGCAGGTCGCAGCAGGTCGAGAGAGTTAGACGAGCGAGCGAGTGCCGGTTTGTTTCTCTCTACGAGCCGCAGCGATGGGGCGATTGTTGTGCACTGCATTGGTGGCACTGGTCGTGTTCGCGGCCGCCGCGGAGGCTGCTCGGCACCACGAGGCCTTCTCGCAGGGGACTTACTACGATCAGAATCAGAAGATCACCGATCAACCCGAGAAAGTTCAGTCGACTGATACCACTCCAGTGACTGTGGACAACAATGCGAAGGACACTCCTATCGACACCAACACTCCGGCGACTACCGTGGACGAGACCCCATCCGGCATCCCCGATCGTTATCCTCATGGGTACCCAGGATCCGAGCAGTACAACACGCAGGTGATGGCGGAGGACACCGACCCGGAAGCTCGCTACTCCGGATACAAGACCACCAATGTGCAATACAGCTCCGTGAGCAACACTGAGACTCAGGACTCGACCACCGTCGTGCCCGATCGATATCCCAATGGCTACCCAGGCAGCGACAACCCGCTGTACACGACCGAGACTGACCCCGAGGCCAAGTTCGAGCAAGGCAAGTATGTGAGCTACACGTCGCAGTCTCAGGACGTGAACAACGACGCCACCACCCAGATTCCCGATCGCTACCCACATGGATACTATGGCAACGCCGACGTCGAAGCAGAGACCCAAGGCGAGGCGGACGTCTACAGCAGCCACCAAACTGACAACCATGCGAAGTTCTCCGTGAACGATAAGACCGTGGACTATAACTCTCAGACTCAGACTCAGCCTACGGTTGTTCCTGATCGATACCCCCGTGGATACTACCCTGGTTTGAACGAGGATGCGCAGACGGATTCTTCTCTGACCACTGCCCAGAAGAACCAGGTGAGCTTCCAGCAGTACAACAACCAGCCTAGATTTGGGTACGAGGGCATCCAAGGTGACTTTTCGACCCAGCTTCAGGGCACAGAGATTCCTTTCGAGCTGACTGGTGGAGCTTGCCCAACTCAGTACTGGATTTCGAACCCACAAAAGTGGCCCAAGTTCTTCAACATCAATTCGAAGGTCACTGACGCTTTCGGAGAGAAGGCGGCCAAGGTATATGGTGACACCTCTTTGTTGGACGCGCTGACGGACTCCCGAGCTGATCCTTACAGCCAGTTGGTGAATTCCGCTGCCACTGCCATCCTGAACTCCTACACTCGCGTTCAGTACAAGTACAAGCACCCCAAGGTGATTGAGTCGTTCAACGCTGCTTTGGTGACTCCCGAGGCTGCGAAGAAGCAGGCCGCAGACTTCGAGCAGTCCAATGTGAGCGTTTTCTCTGCTGGAATCGGCGGGTCATGCAATTGATAACCCTGTGTGCGCGAAGAAGTGACGCCTCACGTTTTTGAAATAGCGGTACTGTCGGATCTTAATCACCTCGAGTGAAAAGCTGCTGTGCCACAATTTTAATGGAAGTTATCATGTTGCGCACCAGCTAGCAGTCTCATCTCTAATGCTTAGTTATCTATCTCGTGCTGAGAGTCATTGATTTTAGAAGTCATCTTTGAGCAGAGGTTGTCGTAAGACCTATGTTCCAGCCCGCCATCGATGATGCGTGTAATATACAACTACTTTACCCTTGCTATTCGCTTTGCGTCGATTGTTCTTGCCTCCGATCATGCACACATTACCCTTTCGAGTTAGCACGCGGACTCTTGGACTAGGGTTGTGCGTGGCTCGGTCAGTAGTTCTGTACAGATAGGTCTTGCGATGAAGGTTATGTCTCGTTTTTCCGTGGAATGCATGGGGAGCTCGTTTGCATCTGTGCTATTGAGTTGTATGTTGTCTCCGAACTCCCAGATATGAAGAGATTTTTGTCCACAAGTTCAGTCGGTTAGTTTTGTCGCACGGTTTCTCTTATAATATTTCCTTATCGGTGAAGATTGTGTCGTACTAGCAACGAACAGTAACTGTAGGAAACGCAGTGAAATGACAGGTCGGAATTGATTTCAGAGTGTGCGCTACAGTTAGCTTGTAGATGTAAGGTGTGTGGGCCAGGTGAGAGTAAAGTAGGGGACAGTACAGTCTGTTTTTGTGTCATTAAGGTTGCAACTTTAGTGTTCATGATGAGGCCATGTTAGTTGCGGTTTTGAGGCCAGGGGACATGTCTGTGCCTTGAATGTTTTCGAATATACTGCTTGCCTTTTTCGAAAGAAGTATAATAGAAGAAAATTGCAAGAAAAAAGTAGTGGGTCAAGAAAGGTTTGCTGTGAAAAGTGGTCACGAAGAAAAACATGAAATAGTTTGTTGAATATTCCTAGAGTACTCCTCTACTCATGTATCTTTTTGAAACTGTGTATCTCCCTCGCAAATTCGGGATATGTAAATGAATTTGTTTCGAAAGTCTGCACAGAGGAGAAGGAAATATATGTAGTGAGGAGGCTGTTTGCACGGTAGATTGAAAAGCACTTGGAAAAAAAGTCGGTGCTAAAAGCGTAGCAGTTCACATACACGTAAAATACAACCGTGAAGATTATTTCAGCTGAAAGGAGTCGATCTGTTAGAATTGAAATGTGAATGTGTGGCGAAGAACTGGGGGACAAATGTGTAAAATGTAGACCAAATAAAAAACTGCATGAATCGTCAACTTCGAATTGTGTTCACTCGTGAAACTACCGTCGCGAAGTGTATGTCAAATGGTGAAGTGTAATTTTTGATACAATTAACCACTTCTAGGAGCACGGTTAAAATCGACAAAAATTACAAATCCACATACATTAATACATTAATACATTTCCATTGCAAAGAAGAATAATGTTAAAACAGAAAGGATGTGACCCCGACCTAGTCTATATATCATAAACACCTTCTGAAACCAAACTTCTTAAAGAAAATATCAAGCGACCCAAGATATGAAATAATGAATCCCTAAAGGTTGGAAAAGAAGATGATATATTCATGCGATGTTTCATCTTAGTCTTTCGACAACAATCTGTGTATCATGCGTTCGACAAAGGTCATAAAACCAGAAAAATTCACTTAAGTGTATAGATTCGAAGATACGACTGTGGGCATGAACCCCTCCCAACTTGAATGTTGTAATCATCCTAAGTACATAGTGCCATTATCCATTGGTGGAATTCTTTGGAAGTGAACTCAACCGACGTGGTCGATGACTCAACATTTTACAAGCAAATAGTTTCGATTCGTTGAATTTGCTTGTGTCATTGTCGATGAAATATTGTGCAGATCGACAAACAAAAATAATGTAAAAGCAGTCTAGCCACAACTATTCAAATCCGTCAAACCAAACGGGTCAAAAAAATTCTGGATTCATCGCAGAAATCAAGGCATAGTTTAGTCTCCCACCCAAAGAATGTACAATTTATAAAAGTCACATGGTTCGAAGACCTGTGGCCCAATACGCTACGCTGTCCCCCAGAATTCTTCCCTTCAGTGGACTGAAGACATTCCAATATATATATAAATTCTAACCTTGGGTACATGGTCCTGACCATTTCGACACGAAAAGTATTCCTTCGGAAGGTACTTGCGGCCTTGTATCATGCCTCCATACGATTCTGACGGGACTGGCTACAATCGAGGGAGGGAAGCCGAGGTTGTGTTCAAAAAAATAATATCGACCTTTAATGGGTCGTGGATACATAGGAGTATGCCGTGCACATGCCGCAGCTTCAGAATCTACTCTGAACTGGCCTCGTCGCGTCCAAGAGCCCAAGAGCACTCATCGCCGAGCTGGAAGATGACATAGGGGGGCCCTTCTAGAAAGACTCATGCAAGAGAGATTTGACATGATGAGCTGCCCTCCAATGGCTCATCTTAGTGCGCACAGCAAGAGTTGATAATCGAGTGGAGGCTAGCTAATCCGAATGTACCATACCATACGATCCGAAACGCAAGACGGTCGGACTTCTCGATCATCTCCGAGGGACTCTGGTTGCTTCAGGACAAGCTCGGTCCACAGCTCGAAGAAGAAGAAAAAAAAGGCGCAGAAAAATTCCTGGCCTTCGATGCGTTGCGGGTTGCGGGTGTGCATGACCTTGGCTGTCTCAGTTTCTGGTGTCAGTTCAATCCGCGACTTTTGATAAAAAGAGCTTTTGTTGGCATGTCGAGGCTCGAATACTAAAAGAATGTCATAATGGCACATGCCCCAAATCATGAAGTTTTCTTTTCCACGCGGTCGGATTTTATCACAGCCCAGTAGCCGCGTGGAAATTACTGGCTCCATGTTCAGGGCCTCGTTCCAGTCGAGCATCGACTGTGCGCGAGCCAGGGGTAAAAAACGTGCCTTACCACCGTGCCTACGAAAAGGCGCAACGATCCCGGTCATCACGTACGTCTACACCTACAAATGCATGTGCATAAAGTACAGTAAAACAGTTTCTTTGCCGCACACGATTTCCAGATTTAAATCACATTATAAATTTGTTTCTTCCAATATGATATTATAAATATGTAAAGTCAGTTAGGTTTTTCCAATGTGTTTATGAAGATATATATTTCACTGAATGACTGAGAAAGTTAAACTTTGCCGTCTTGTTTGTAATACATTCACGACTTGACTAATCGAATATCGTATGCATTAAATTTAGTATGCAGACTTTTCACGACTCACATGCTCCCTACGTGGTTTTACTTTTATCAAAAGACTTGTTTTCTTGAATGCACATATGTCTTAGAAGAGCATTTATGTATGTAATATCACAATCAGGTTAAGCGTTTTGTCTATTTTGTGTTTAACTTCAAAAATTGGACTTTTGTCATTTTTCGAATTTATACAGAATTCTTATTGCATGTGAACGGCGCACTAAAAATTTCAAAATTCGATGATATTTTTCCAATTTGTAGCACACTTGATATCAACCTAAATATATAAAATAATACATATATATATATATGATTTATATAAATATGCTAAAAAACAAAAAAAATTTGGGGGTTAAATTCTTCAACATAATTTATATTATTAAAATAATGTATATACTACAATAATATTTTTACACTATGTTAAGCCGCGGTGAAGAATGTGGTGTCCCGCACAAATACACGTAGTCAAGCTCTTAGTCTGTTGTTGATATACTACTGTATGTTTTAAAACCTGCAAATAATAGAGTAACATAATATTGTTAAACTAAAAAATCACTTGTTGATATAATCAACATCTAATAATCAAATAATAATGTTATTCTTGAAAAGGCTTGTAATTTTATTTTTTCCAAATGAGTAAGAAAACGTGAATTAAATTTGTTTAAAAAATTGTATATATTATAGAAATTTAATTTTATAATAGGTATGATTACTGTATTAATTTAAGAAATCAGGTTCAATATTAAAAAAATAAGATTTTTATTGTTTAACTCATCTCACAACTTGTATGAATTTAAAAATTTTATAGAAAAAATCAATGGAAGAATAATAAATATTAAATAGTTTTAGAAATAATTATTTTATAGTTTTTATAGATATTCAATCTGTAAATGAATGATCTTACTCTAAATTTAGATTTTTAGGAAATTTCCTTGATAGTATTGTTTGAGGTTAAATCTTATCTTGACTTGGCTCAAATTAGTTTAATTATTATTAGTTATAGATTCTAATTTATCACAATATAAAAATGCTGATCGAAGCTCAGCACTATGATTAGCTTGAGTTGAGTTGATATTGTGGACGTAAAATCTAGTGATGAATTAAGTTACTTTTTATTTTTTCATGTTGATTGTGTGTTTGTATTTCATTTTTTATTTCAATGCAAGTTTGCTCGTTAATATGTATAATTAGGTTCAAAATAATGTGTTTCAAGTACAATCTTAGCATTGCCATAGATATAATTAGTAACTTCAAACGACTAGTTAGATTGCTCGTTTCCTCAAGCAATCTAACTTCATGATTTTCATTGCAAACACAAACTTCAGCCCGTTTATTAGAAACAGGATTATCAAAAAAGTGTGATTGCGAGAGTAGAATATGTGAGAGCTCGGGGCATATGGCAATTTTAAGTTAAAGTTGCCAAGCTTGAATAAGTGTGAGAGTCAATGGGAACACAAAATTACAAATCTTGAGATTGAGATTTGTAATGGTGAAGTCAAATGTTCAAAAAAAAGAAATTTTGCCAAGATAGTCTCTTTTGTATCTAGGCTTAAGGTTGATTAGAAAAACTTAATGAACTTTTGATTTAACTAAAATTAGAAAAACTCATATTAGTGAAGCTAATTAGCATGACATTATATAACGAGTTTGATCAAAACTTTGAGTGACACAATTAGAGTCTTTTGTGAATAAAGACAAAATTCATTCATGAAAATATCAATCAAGGGTAAAATATGTATTTTTTTTGTCAATGCTATATTTTTGGAATGAATACATATGTTTTGTTTTTTAAAAGTCATACATAATTGTTTGTATACATGACAAAATATAAATATATTTACAATTTTTTTGTAATACATTAAAATTCCATTGATTTTCATTTTATTTTTACAATTCAAATTTAATTATAAAAATTCAATTAACTTTAGTATGTTTTGTTTTTGTTTTTGTTTTTTTAGTTAAAAATTTAATTCTTAAATTTAATCTAATCATCTCATATGTCTATGTTATAAATAAATTAGACAAATTTTGATTAATTTTAATTATTTTAACTTTGGTGAGTAAATAAATTAGCTTTCATTGTATAATCATACAACAAGATGACTTGCTGAATTATTATCTAGTTGATAATATGTTAGTCTCTACAATTGCTTGCTAGCCTTACTGAATCATTGTATAGATTTTTCAAACGAATGTGGATAGAGCTCTAGAGAACTAACTTTGTTGCAGAATGAACCAGTTATACCGAATATACATATATTGAGTTATAACCTGCAAATTAAAAACATCGGCTAATAATCAATCTATGATAAGATTGTATTTGATATAATATTTATTTATATCAATTTCTTAACTTTTTCTTATAGATTGTAGTAAAATTTTTTTTGTGTTGATATTTTGGAAGTTATGTATGTTGTAGATATTTTGATATAATTCATAAGAAGGTCAAAAAATCAATATTTATCACTAATCTAATTGATGTAAGTACTTTATGCATATGATAATAATAAACTTTAAATTATTTTTTAACTATATTATGACTTTAATTTATAATTAAAATTAAGAAAGAAGAAAATGTTCACAAAATTTCATACAATGATGAAATAAAATTATAAAGGTTACTTTATATATTGTTTTGAAAGAGAACCAATGTATCAAAATTGTAAATATAGCA